ATATATATTCTATAACTATCGATATCTATATCTGTATATAGTCAGCTATATAATTATATAGTTATAAATATATATATATATACATATATACTATCGAGTGTCAACTATATATCTCTGTATCTATAAACAAGACTTTATATCTATATAATTGCTGTCAACTATGAATACATCTACATATTATTTATATCTATCGATCTTTATATCTATATACAGTTAGTTTACAATTATATATCTATATATCTTTATACTGTCAAGTGTTAGCTATATATCTCTGTATCTATTTATTAGACTATAGATCTATATAAATGCTGTGAACTATCACATCTCTTTATTTTCCTCTATATATCATCGCCGCCTAAAAAAAGACAGCTATAAAAGGCTATGTGTTAGCTCTCTTGGCTATGTTATTGAAACAAAACAAAATAGAGCCACTTGGCAACTGCTGGGCAGTTGACGTCTGTGGCGACTTGTGTGGACTGTGGTCTGTGGAGTTGTGTTTTGTGCCGCTCACGGCCTTAAATTGTCGAAATAGTAATATAGGCGGCTCAGCAGTCAGCTCTGTGTGGCTGGTAAATAGGCTGTGGCGGTGCTAAAAAATACTTGTTTTTGTGAATTAGTGATATTTGTTGAATCAGAATTATTAGAATCGAGATTAAGTCGAGAGCGAACACAGCTCCCGCGTGTTTATCTATAAAAAAAAATTGTCTCATTATTTGCTTTTTGTGTCTAAAAAAATCAAAACACCACACGGGTGACGGGCTGACACAGTGACAGCTGACACAGTCACCGTGAGACTGTGAGTTCACTGTGAGTGCACCCAAACACCTAAACTTGTTTTTACAAAAGTTGTGTCTCAATACACAAATTTACTCTTGCTCTTCTTTGTGTGTAAAAATGTAAAATTATTGTCAGAACACTATGAAGATTATGACTTTTTAGTTTGTGGTGTTTCTTTAATTTTTTAGAAGGCTGTGTTTTGTTCAATTTCAGGAAGCTATTTCTATTTATAAAATGTTCCCAAAAAATAAACAGAGGACAGTTCGGTTCGTGACCAACAGATAGCAGGGCGCAGGCGAACATCTGCCGTTCTGCATTATTTTTCTGTTCCAACGACCAACCACCTCCTGACTCAGGGGTCGTAGCCCGTAGGCTGCAAAATGTAAATAGGCGTTGGGACTTGGGACTTGGGACTTGGGACTTGGTGTTTTCCAGAAAACAAGACTTGTTGAATAAAAACATGAGAGAGAGGAAACATTTTTAATAATTCCAATACATAACCATCAAATATTTGACTTCAGCTGATCTGATACAGTCGCGTAGTTTGAACAGTTGGCACTCGGCTGTTTTCCCCAAGATCCCATGCAGTTTGAACAGTTGGCACTCGGCTGCTTTCCCCAAGTCCCCATGCCCAAGCTGAAGTTAAATATTCAACACCTAGATATGTACAATTAACCCGCTAACATCGAATTTGAATGATTGTCCAGTATGTCCACATTTCAATACGTATATGTGCCACAACGCTTCGCCATTCAGAAATCAGAAACATGCATCTATCAAATCGCCAATAACATGTGTACAACATGTATATATACATATCTGTATTATTAAAAACTACTGTCTAATAAATATAGCTGCATCTATAGAAACGATGCAACAGCAATCCCCCCGCTTTCTCCTTGTCTGTCGTCAGATCCCAAAAAAAACATACAATGGCATATAATTCTAGATTCTAATATATCTCGCACTTACTTCTATGTTTATGCAATTATAACTGTACACGACTGAATTCCCAAAAGATGTATGCTGTGGATCGTATCCGCGATCTCTACCTTCTCATCGTTCACTTTTGCTGATGGGTAAAATATTCAATATCAGGATTCCTTGGATATATCTTATTTAATATTCTCGAGTGTAGTATAGTGTTTTCTATGTAACAAGAGACACGTTTCAGCAGTGTGCTTGGAAGGTGCAATCTGGTGGTAACTCAATATTGATATTAGAGAGGCGTTGCATGCAACAGTGTAGAACCAAAATCGTTTCCGTGCAAGTGTCGCCTGGAATCGATGGCATATAAACTGCAACGTATACTTTTCTCTCCTATTTGGTGTTCAGTTGTGGATAGCTTAGCAGGCTAAATTTAGAGATTTTAGAGATTTATATCCACATCATATCGGTCAAAAGTGGAAACACACTAGTTCACCTGATATCTTCAAATCGCGACAGCGGTATATTGCTTATATTATTTTTTAACTTAACCGGTATTTACGATGGGTGTAACTGCTCTTAGCCACAAGTAAACTCGAACGATAAGCTATAAATTTTGCCTACTATGTGCGTAATAGCAAAACCAACCAATACCATCTTTTGTAGGTGACAAAAACGATGCTTTAACGACCGACACACATATATTCAAGTATTTTCAACGAAATGCTTTTGCTTCACTAATTTTTATTTACTAAATTTGATCACTTTGTGTATCATTAACGTGTATTTTCTATATCCTCCAGGTACGAGACGACTTGTTGCGCACTCCATCTACTTGATGGGTCGATCGTCAAAACGTTTAGCAACAACGTTTGCATATATTCGGGGATGTTTTCCCAATCTTCAACTTTACCAAGTACCTCTCCCTTTGCGTAACTGGCATATTCAGTCGTGGATTGAGATGCTAGAGTAAAGGGGAACTTACTCGTGAGCATAGTGTATAGCGTGATTCCAAAGGCCCAGACATCACACTTTAAGAGGTCAATGTTGCTGTAATCCTTAGTCCCAGCCTCAATGCGTTTCTCGAGTCGCTCCACGATCTCGGGAGCCATGTAGCCGGGTGTGCCCTTGTATAAGCCAGTAATTGGATCAGAAATACGAGATGCTTCTCCGAAGTCAACTATTTTCATCACCCCCGTTGTCTCATCTGAGCATATATTATCGGACTTGATATCGCGATGTGCAACACCCTGTGAATGGATGTGAGCCAGGCCCGTAGCGATCTGTTGAGCATATCTGAAAGTAGTGTCTTCTGCTAGTCCGTGATCGGCTTGACTGAGAATATCGACCAAATCTCCGCCGGCACAAAGCTCCATAACCAGACAAATTTGGCGCTTCGATCGGTTCATAACTACGTCGTGCATGGTGGCTACATTGGGGTGTGGCTCTAAAGATTTGTGTATTTTGTACTCGCGTCTTATTTGCTTCAAATGAGCGTATGTACCCTTCTTCAGCGCCACATCTCTATTGTATGAATTGTCCCGGCATTGTGTTACAATACACGTGGATCCTTTTTGAAGCAGCGACTCTTTTGTAAAGCGTACCGCCAAATCCAATTTAACCTTAGAGTGCGGAGCAGGGTCCAGTGGTGCAGGCTTCACCACGTCCAAATTCAACGCATGCAATTTTTTGGCCAAACTAGTCTGCTTGAACGGCGCAATAGCGACATCGTCAAGCTCGGGAAGGGTGGAGGGTACGGCAGGCATCTTGTTAATAAGGTCGTTCTAAAGGATGGGTAATTATACTCTTGTGTATTTTAGCAAGTTATTTTAAAAGTGATCACAACTGTTATTTGCCGCGTAATATATATACACTTTTGTGGCAAAGAGATCGGTCATCAGTCTTCTAAAAATAAATAAATGAAATACGGATGAGTGATTTCTCTATCAGGGGCATCAGATCGGTTCCGGAAACTGAAGTCTGAAGTCACGATGTAATTTACGTAAATATTCCTTTAGCTTTTTTTACTTTTTTAATTTTTATCAACCTCTTGTTGTGTGTTGATTGTTGAATCATGAATGTCTGAAATATTTGGAGTTCGTGACTCACATACTTTTTAGAGCTCTGGACACCGTATGGCTTGCTGTCCAGTCACAGTCTCACAGACTCACAGACTCAGTGCTGCCCAAACACTTCTCATGGCAGCAACAAGAGAGTGTTTTAAAACCAGCAACACTGCAACTTCGTGTTTTCATTCTAAAAACAAACAGAACAAAAACAAATAAAATAAAATATGCAAAACAAAATTCATTTTCTTTGAATTATTTTTCCTTCTTTATTTTGTTTTTAAAAAAGTCAACCCTCAAATCTGTATCGGGTCACACTTCTAGAAGTTCTTGCCTTCTTGGCACTTCTTGGCAGTTGGCACTCTCTCTCTCTTCAGAATCACCATTCGCCAGAGTGACCAGTTTGGTAAATAATCTGGCGCACGGATAGTGGATTGATTTTGTTTTGGCTTTTTTGGTTTTGTTTTTACATTTATTTTTTACAAATTTCAAACAAATTCAGTATTTTTTTTTAATTAGGCGGTGTGTGTATTTATTGACTGTACTCTGTATGTGACAAAAATAAAAGCAGATCACACTCTCACTCGTGAGCACGGCCACTTTCTCTCGGGAGTCTCAACTGTCGAGATTCAAGACTCGAGAACTCGAGACATAGTGGGGAACAAGCGCTGTCGAACTGTTCCCACTCCCGTCTCCCCACTCTCCACTGTCCCCAGCCAGTTTCTGTACAAAAAGCAATATTCCCGCCAGATGATATTGTACCCAATGAAACCAACGCTTCGCCAATCACCATTCAATGTCTCCGCATGAGGAGGAGGAGTCCAGACTCCAGATTCCAGAAGTCCATGACACATTGAATGAAGATTGTTAAAAAATTATTAAAATATGGATCAGAAAGTCAGTTGAATACGTGTTCTTGATTATTAGAAAACAAATTCAAAACTACAAAAACACTTTCGTTACTGCTCTGATAAATAGATAAATAGTTGCAAAGTGCAAAAATACAAATATCGCAGTCTGCGCAGAGTCGCAGACACTTTTTTTTTTTTATATAAACAAAACAATAACGCCACACACACATATATATATATTGATTTATTTATAAAAAAATGCATTACGCCAATATCGCCATGATGCGTGTTACCAATTTCGGTTTCCACTCGACAGTCGACACTATGCAGTATGCACTATAAAGTCACACTGACACTGTGTGCTACAGTCTACCGACTCTACCGGCTGCGGCTGCTGGCCTGCCCCCCACGGGCCACGACCCACACGGCCACACATGATGTGATGTCCCCGTCTCTTACTCAAAGGAAGGGAATGGACTCTCGGAGTCTTGCGCGTGACGGTAAAGGTAAAAAAGGTTCCAGGCTAGCTGCCAGAACCAGTCGCCAATCGAGAAGTGAAAGCAGAATCATACCAAGAAGAAGAACAGGAATGTGATATTAGCATGAAAAAGCCGGTTTCCTCACCGTTACAACAATTTAAAAAAAATTATTTGTAAATACTTGTTCTTCTGTAATCTGCATATAAATGAGTCCAATGTAACTAAATGTACGTTTTCACAATGTTTCGCGTTGAAAAAGTACGGCTTTTCGATCAATCTTTTGGGATTGGACGCATGGTCATCAAATAGTGACGACTTTATATAAAGAACTCAATAACCATTTGACAGAAGAAAAAAACGACGAGTGAATCGGGAAACTTTGAAAAGGGTGATCATTTTGAGTGAAAACGTAAGTACATATTCAAAAACCACATCTAAATGGACATCGACTTGACCTTTTCGTATTGGAGTGGATTTTTTAAACACATAATAAGCTGATATACTCAGTCTAAAGTCTAAACTCTACAGCGGTAAATAGATAGTTAAAAATATGTGCAGACTACTTTTTCTCACTTGTTTAGTTGTTAGAGCGCATTCTTGTTAATATCTAAAAATAGAGTAACCCTAACAACCATTTTACTCTCTCTTGGAGCCTTTTGCAAAATCATTTTTAAAATTAATTAGTACCTCTGAGGGCCTGAGGGCCTGAGGCTCTGGGCTGAACTCTGCTGTATTTAGTAAGGACCAATGAACGACGAGAACTGAGCGACCTTGACTCTATTTAGAGTTTAAGCCACTGGACCATATTTATTTGTTCCTTTTTAAAAAAAAACATGTTCAATATGTACTGAACCTATTACTGTTGTTTTTTTAGTTAAAAAAAACACTTTCAAACTGAAAATTCACGAAACTCGGAGCTAAATATCGTATTATTAGTGATTCCTGGGGATTGGACTTGAACACAATAGAGAATCACGAAAACTCATCGAAACTACCGTATGGACCAATGAAACCATATCTAAACTCAAGCGTATTTCATTGGTGCACAAAAATGAAAACGATAGTCCAATGAGATAAAGTCTATAAAAAGAATTTTTCCCGAATTACGATTATCTCAATAAAATTATTTATAAAACACAGTTTAAAATATTTACTGCATTTCACGTGCAAAAAGTCGTGATTTCATATTATCGTGTTAATTTTTCTATCGTTTACGTTTTTTTACAGTGTAAAATTTATATTTCTTCCGTTTCTAAGAGACTTTGTTCAGATTCTTTACTGCATTTAATAAATGAGTACTATTGCGAATTGAGAAAACGTAGCCACTATTTGAGTACGCTTTCACACGGAATATCTTACAAATTTATCTAAACTCGATTCAAATTTAAAATACGAGTTAAATTCTAGCGTCGTATATTTTCAATTTTGTTATATTTATAGATACGCTGTACCCTAGAACCCTAATTCTATTTGTAGAAAAATGTATGACGATGTTTGTGTATTCACAAAAGTTTAATTTTGCGTACATCCCCAGTGTGTTCGAGGGCTTATCCTTCCGATCATTTTTTGTATTATTAGTGGATAATACACTTGAACATGTTGCCCACGGGGTGTGCAACTAACTATGCACATCCACAGTCAACCATTGTTCTTTCACAACAAGCACGTACAGACCACACAATTATACCATCGTACACTATATAGTTTTGAAGATATCGTAGCTGATACTCGGAGAGTATGGGGTTCTCTAGCATACTAACAGGTCGGAAGACTAAGAGGTCCTCCTCTGGTATGTCTATCCCGTGACTGTTTATATTACGACCAAGGTTTGCCTCCAGATAGCTAAGGCCCGTGGATCTTGCTCGATTAGATCATAATTCCTACGTGGTTGTATAGGTCAAAAGGATGCTGTGATCCGAGTGTCTGTGTGTTAAGAAATGTTGTGACCAACACTGATTTAGCACTGGCTAGCAGGTGATTCCTGAGATGCGTCATACCTATAGTTTTACCATGCTTGTAAAGTTGAAGTATGTAAAGTATTTCGGAACCTTGACAGCGCTTAGAGTGATATCGTATGTTTGTGTGTGATGAATTATGTTTGATTTAAAGACCATCTCACCAGTCTGCTTGGTATGTTATTGTTCTGGACATTAGTTTTGCCTGATTGTACAATCATATTCTGGTTATTCGTCAGCTACAGCTATGCAAGCCATGTACCTATTGTTTTGTACACTAGTAACACTTCTTCAACAATGTATATTTGTAGTCTTCGATGTACGCTTTCCTCGCTGTACGGTTTGAGATGGTAACCATGGCAATTCTCCACACCCTCATGCACTGTTTCACGTAAAACCGTTTACGTATCATGACTGATTTATAGCTACGTATCATGACTTATTTGCACAGCAATCACATGCACGCTCCTGTGTACATAGGCGCCCTCTTAAATTTTCTACAAGTTGAAAATGATGTATGCACACGTATCTATCCATTGCTCTAAGCTATGTGTGCTCGAATTGCACCACATAAGAATCCATTTGTCAACGGCTATCTCAACATATGATCACTAGAATGTCACAAGCACGGGCTATGTGCTTCTAATCCGCGCGTACATGCACAAGCTTGTATGATTATGTGAATGAACATGCACTTAAAGCTGGTAATAGGATAAATGCAGTAGTTTCTATGAGTTTGGAGCATGTGCCTATAGCCATCGCTCAGAACATTTCCCAATATCAGCAACATTAAAAATCTCGAAATGTGTTTGGAATCTCATGTATATATACGCATTTTCGCATATGTATACACCAATTTATATCAACGAAGGCAATGTGGTCGACACACAATCTATTATGCAAGCTGTCCTACTGTTGTAGCTGTGTAGTCTATTTCGCTGTTAGTGCTTGGAGTGGTTTCTCACTGGTGTGGCAAAGTGGAGCGCTGATCTCCGTATACCATTTAGCTCAGAACAAATGTGTTGGCAGAGTCCACCGAATTATTTACAATACGTTACGCTAAATACAACGTGTGCTGTATGTGAGATGCACGAGGTAGACAAGTGTACCTCTGTTGACTATGAGAGCTGGGGCTCTCACAATGCTCTATACGTTTTTATTCAAAGTGCGTTACCTGTATATGGTTTTGTTACGACGACAGATATTGGATCCGGGAGAAGACCCAGCGTAGCATGTGTCAGCGACGATTTCCATAACAAGAAGGTAGAGTATATATATATATATATATATATATATATATATATATATATATATATAAACGTGTTCACGTGTTTACGTGTATGTGTATGTGTATGTGTATGTGTATGCGCGTGTGTGTGTGTGTGTGTGTGTGTGTGTGTATTTCGCACACGCACTGTATCGTGCGTGGCGTTTTCATGGTTATTCTGGTCCGATATCGCCCCTGATCGAGCAGGCTATGCAGTGTGTATGATTCGATAGATACAGATTAAAATCCGTATATCTAAATATCAGTGCATGACATCACAACAATCATCTGTCTGTGTCTACTCTCACAGATACATATATGCATATATATGTATATTCGTGCTCGTAGTCATATGTAAATATATTTATAACTTGTCCATCTCTGCAGTAGTTAGTTGTAGGTAAGCGCAATGCTAGCGTACACTGTCCCGCAGATGTCATTGGCCGATTTTAGGTAAAAACCATTCTATGGTTTTCGATGAACTTCATTTGGCTAGTGCGAACTGGGCTTCACTGGGGGGTGTATTGACTTTTCATAGTCTTACCGAGTGATAAATCCAATATTGCAACCCTCAACGCACTCTAGCATATGTATATGTTTATATATATATGTGTGTGTGTGTGTGTGTGTGTGTGTGTGTGTGTGTGTTATATATATATATATATTATATATATTATATATATATATCTTTTTATCTATGCATATCTATGCATATTTATATATATTTATATATATATATATGTATATATGTGTGTGTGTGAAAGTGGAAGGCACTATACTTCATCTGCAACTAGTTCGCGAGCAGTCGAGATTAGCACATCTACATTCCCTGTGCATGTATCTTGTACAACGATATATAGTATCAATGTCTATATCACTTCTCCCTTAGCCTCGTAGTACATGTATTGTGTTCATATATACCTACCCTGTCACGTGATCCAGATCCCTTTGGATGCACTTGTGGTCGATGATGCGATTAGTATCCGAGTGGCTGGGTTGTATCATCCTGCGTCATCTCCGAATCTCTTACGTGCTGGTACGTGAGCTTTCCTTTCTTATAGCGCATTGCGTTTTAACGCCCTGTCCACGCGAATGTGCACTTTGTTCAGCTGTGACCTATGTATGGCTGTGGTTGATAGGTATTTGTTCAGTAGTGTCCTGTGTATGGCTGTGGTTGGTAGGTATTCCTGGCAGCTGCGTGCAGTTGTGTACTATTGCGCATGACTGCTGCATGAGTGATATGTGTGCGATGGGTGTGTTTTTTCCGGTTTAGGGTTTTGCTTTTGTCAACGGTACGCGTGACAGAGATCAATACGCCACTTGCTGTGGTTGTGAAAGCCTTTAGTTAGGCCTTTGGGTCTATGCGAGTCCCTACACCGACGTATTGATCGTCTCAATCTGCGGTCCGTTTAGAATGCGAATAGGTGCAGTGCACCGGTAATTCCAGGTGCAGGACAGTATGTCCAGGTGCAGTTATACACACCACGCCATGTGTTGTTGTCACAGCCACAACCACCACTCTCTTTATCTGTCTCTCTCGCAGTGTGTGTGTTAATATACCCCTCCCTTTTCTCCCTTACCGCCACCGCTACAGCTGGCACTAGCAGCTTTGCGTCCGTCAGATGCACAGGCAGACGTCCACGGGCTGTGGCACAAGCACCCGTCTCTGCCACGCGCAGCCAAGCCCTCCCACAGACACTCACAGGCACGTCAACGGCTGGTACTAGTGTAGAAGGGACGCCTCGTGTGTGTGTGAAGACCATCCAGGATCGCCCACAAACACGCACAGGCACGTCTACGGCTGATACTAGTACAAAGGAGACCCGTGATGTGTGTGTGAAGAAACGTGCGTTGATATTCAAACCAGCACACAGGAAAGCCGTGGTTGTGCGTGCGTGTGGGGGAGATAGGGGGGTGGGAGACGCCCACGGCCGGAAGGTGAGTGGGTGTATTGGGTTATGTGTTGGTTTGGAATAAGTGTTGGGGTTGTGAGTCATGTGCAGGGCTGCGTCTGTGACAGTTGTGTACGGTGTGGAATGGGCTATAGGTTAACGAGCATGTGTGTGTATTTGCAGTTTAGCTAAACGTGCCTGTGTGTGTATTTGCAGTTCGGTAGTCTGCAGTTCGGTAGTCTAGTAGGTAGGTAGCTATGTATGTTGGTGTGTGTGTTGAGTCGCCTGGGCTGTGATTGGACTGTGTGCGAGGGGTGTCCCGTGAGTTTGGTTTGGGGCAGGTGCGGTTGGGAGTGGGTTTAGGGTTTTGACCCTAAACCCCTATAACACCGAAACACATTCAGATCGGTGAGGTGTGAGTTGTGAGGACTAAAGTGTCCCAATTATTCGCTTTTCTGGACCACTGGATCACGATGTAAGACCTATGCGCGTACTTCTGGCGTGAGTTTATCTTCAAATTATTAATCACTGTACCCTCATTTAGTATGCAGGTTTCCTAGCATCACTATCTATGGCTCTATTCAATCCCTCGTGCGCACATGTATATTATGTGCATTTGTATTAACATATACACATATATACTGATATATATATATATATATGTGTGTGTGTGTGTGTGTTTATATATACGTATATACTATCACGCACACGCCCATACCATCCCTATACAATCAACCCCACAGCTACTACCCGCACATGTCGGGGACGTGGTGACTATCTCCACCAACGTCTCCAGTCACATGGACTGGTGGTTAGCCATCCATGACCAAACGGGCGGCATAGGTCACCTTCCCAAGAATAACATACGCGTCCTCAACCAGTGTGTAGCTTCGGTTGTCTTACGGGATGTGTCTCTGCTACAGTCCCTTGGCACTCACTCCGGTATGTCTAGATACGGATGCGCCGTTTGATGCTGATGGTGGGGTGTGTTTGTGCTTCTATATAGATCGTCATAGTGTTGTGTGTGTGTGATAGTGTGATAGTGTTGTGTGTATGTGATTGTGTTGTGTGTATGTGGTAGTGTGGTAGTGTTGTGTGTATGTGATAGTGTGATAGAGTTGTGTGTATGTGATAGCGTTGTGTGTATGTGATAGTGTTGTGTGCATGTGATAGTGTAATAGTGTTGTGTGTATGTGATAGTGTTGTGTGCATGTGATAGTGTAATAGTGTTGTGTGTATGTGATAGTGTTGTGTGTGTGTGGTAGTGTGATAGTGTTGTGTGTATGTGGTAGTGTGATAGTGTTGTGTTTATGTGATAGTGTTATGTGATAGTGATAGTGTTGTGTGTATGTGATAGTGTTGTGTGCATGTGATAGTGTGATAGTGGTGTGTGCATGTGTTTCTATATAGTTTGTGTGTCCCTGTATGTTCCCATGGCTATCACATAGTGCGCGCCTGCTGTGGCCCTCTGTGTTGTGCATTTAACGTATTGCATTCGTGCTCACTGCGGTTGTCCATTAGTGTGTCGTATGTCTCTCCTTTCTATCCTATCTGTGTGTTTGTTAACTACCTACATCCAAGTGTTAGGGTTTAGGGCTCCATCTCTTCTTTCTGTGTGTCTGTTAATTACCTCCCTTCTCCACCACATACACGTTTAGGCTCAGTGTCCGAGGGTGTCCGAGTACCCCAGTGCTCCGTTGTGAACGTGTTAAGCTCAGCCACAGATGCACATCCTCTGTGCATAGTACAATATCGGTTGAGTGGGGCTATCGGGGGGGTCTCTCCGGACGCGCTAACACCTTTGACGGCCATGAGGTGTGTTTCATGGAGTGTGACTGGGTGCAAGATATTACACAGTATAATTGATCTGGGGTGTGGAGTTTGGTTTGGTTTGGCTTGGTTCGGTTTTCGTGCAACCTGGTTGAATGGTGTTGTATTGCATTGTATTGTATGGGTTTGATAGATCATTTATTGTATAATATCGTATCGTATCGTATCATGTCGTATTGTTTTGTTTTGTGTTTTGTTTTGTTGGATCACTTATTGTTATTGTATCGTATCCCATTGTACTATTTTTTATTGTACTCCTATACTTGATTCCCTTCCAGTACCTGTGCGCGGGTGTCCTACTACCTCTACCATAACCTCGGTGCATACTCGGAGTGACCATTGCAGAATCCTTCCAAATGGCAGTGATTGATCCCTGAATACTCTCCTTCTTACCATACTCAAGAGACCACGCACATAGTACTAAGGAATGGGCTGTGGTGGTACGCGACATGAAGTCCAGTGTCACGTCCACCGGCAGCCCTGCGATGCTCAGAAAGGGACAGGTGTGCCAAGTCCTGCACCGCCTGGATCACTCAGCCAATCCGTTTGCCGAGGTGATGGTTGCCATGGAAACGCCACCCGACGGGGGTGTGGTAGAGAGTACTGACACGCCCGCGGTAGTGTCTCGCGCAGATACCACACTGCTATCCGTATGGGACGATATAGCGGTTGGGTTTGTCCTGCTTGACTCCAGTGGGACCGGTCCTTGTCCTGATAGTTTGTTGCCTGACCTGGGTGCGAGGGATTGGGACTGGGACTGTGGGGGAGAGGGCTCTGCCCCATTCGTCTGGCCAGTGGACACCCAGACATTGGCGCACACCACTACGCCTGTACATCAAACGGACTCGGTGACACGGCCACGCACCCCCGTCGATGCAACACAACATAGTATACCTGCACACACACACACGCACGCACGCACACATGAACACGAACGTACGCATGTGGTTGATAGGGCGAGGGACATCCGCTCCAATATAACCGATGTAGTCACCACCACCACCACACCAGCAAAAGCCATCACACCAGCAATAGATAACCCAAACACAGACACCCAACACCCTAGCAACCAACACAATAGCACTCCCCTCCGCTGCAGTTCAGCAACAAGCGCTACAGGCGATGACATGGGGAGTGACCTATTTATAGCCGTGGTAGATAGGGATACCTTAGAGTTCCTGGACCCGCCCACTGAGGCGTGTCTGAATGCCTATGACAGCTCTGCGCTGGAGAGTATTCCTGCGTTGTGTGCCGTGTGTCTGGATGTGGACGTACTGCCAAGATACTCCATATTTGAGGTGGGTGTGTTGTAATGATATTTCACATTTGAAATGTGTGTGTTGCTCTTTATTTGAGGTGGGTGTGTTGTAGTGTATCCGTCTTTCTGGCATATCTAGCACGTGGATGCTAATTCAGTCAACCCATTGTCGGTTCGGTACTGCGTGTGCTGTATGAATCGCGCCTCACTGGTGAACACGACTGTCCTGCTCTTCTGAATGGGACACGTGGCGAGTTAATATGTGACCTTTTTTTCCGGCCCACTTTGTCCGACTACTATTATTTCGGGTTTAATGGGTTTAGGGTGTAGTAAAACCCTAAATCCCTCAAGGACCGATACTCTACTGTACGCCCCTTTGGACTTATTCCGAGTATTCATTATTGGCTCCTCCTAGACTCCTCATCGCTTCCGTATCGTCCCATACCCCATGCACCAGTGCGTATGACTCTCGTACCGTCCAGTGTTCAGGTCCACTTTCTCTGACAACATTAATTCGGTATAGGGTTTTAGGACTTAGTGCGTATGACTCTCGTACCGTCCAGTGTTCAGGTCCACTTTGTCTGACAATATTAATTCGGTATCGTATGACTCTCGTACTGTATAGCATTCTGGTCCACTGTCTAGGGTTTTAGTGCTTAGTGCGTATACTCTCGTACTGTATAGTGTTTGCTCTGTGGGCTGTCAGTTATGCACCGAATTCTTGCGCAGAAGCCATTGCGACGGTGCAACAGAACAACGCAACCCGCGTTGCTATGGCAACAGTCCCATTCATCATTCATATGCTGAGTGAGTGAGTGCGTGATGGGGTGTATCTTGTCGCTTGCCCTGGGATTTGACTCGCCCAAAGGTTTGCCTCCGCACAGTGTTTGTACCGCACATTCGAACACACAGCTAACACACTTAACCGGCTTATCCTTACGTCTAGTACCTCTAGTACCTCTAGTACGTGCCCAGTGGCCCATCCCTCATATCTCTGGCAACCACCACACCGTGACTCAGCTCCCTCGCCCCTTCTCCATCCAATCAGTGCCACCACAGCTTCCATCTGATGTGCTTAGTGGACCTAGTGCGCTACGCCATCAATAACCGCGTGGAGGCATTCCCGGTGTATTGTCCACTAGCGAAGAAAGCGGGCCAGTGCACCGTAGTTCTGGACTATCGGACGGTAAAGGGCCTGTCCGATCGAGCGTTTGACCTGAAACTGAAGGGCCTTACGAATCAGGAATTGGACAAGTTTGGTAACTTTTACGCAGAGTCGCTCATCGGGAAAGGCAACCGAATATTCGTAAGTATGGTGTGCTATGTGTACCTATATATGGATTGATTACATCCTTCCTACATGAAATCAAGGAAAGTAGTATGACTTATGCCAATGCCTTTTGTCGTCTGCGGTTTTTGATCAATGTCAAGGAAACGACTGAGTATACGGTCGCCCGAAACCATCGCAAACTGGTATATACTGGCCAGCTACGTCCTCAAAGATATTGATCTCGTACAGGGTTTAGGGCTAGAGTTTCTAAACCTTAAACCCTGAATCCTCATGTCTGTTGACTGTTCAATGATAAGATTTGTTGTATCTGTATCCTTTTTAGAACATCTACCAGTATGCCGCCTTCTCATACCATACTCATATTTGGCTTTGGCGGTCCCTCGGCAGTGCCCAGATGCCGCATGTGGAGTGATGATTGAGATACCTACCGGACACAATCCAAGCTATAAGCGTACAAGGTGTCCGTCATGTGCACATGCGTTCTGCTTCGATTGCAAGGTGAGTCACTACACACCACACACACACTTGCACACGCATGAATAGTCTCACGAATGGTGCCAGTCTGAGGTAGACGTCTCAGTTCCCAGATAGAAACATGGGATCTGTACACATACCACATAGCACTTGTACGGGTGCACTGAAGGTACAGAAACATGGCCATCGTAGGCAGATGGACATATATTCATCTGCATCATCGAATTATATGTACAATATAGATGCCTAGAGTATATGATATTTATAATTTATAGATATTTATATATCTACTGGTAAACGGATAGGCTATATATAGATTTACTTATATGCGTAGGGAATACTTTGCAGCATATCATGTCCTGCCCAATTACACAGCTGTCATAGACCTATTTTTTGCCTTTGAATCGCAATGTGTTTGCCCTATAGCCCTCATTCTCCGTTACCATTGCGTCACGGCGCACCCAAATCACTTGCGCTAAGCCAAACGCTCCCCTTCTGCACATCACCACACCATACCACTCGCTTATATCACAGGCATACATAGCGGATCTAAACTTTAAAACCCTAAACCTCGCCAATCTTAACTCACCCCCTCACTGCCGCATACGTCCGCAGAATCCTTGGCATAGCAAACTCACATGCGCCGAGGCCAGCGCCCTCCCCCGCGCCCACCACCACACCATAGCCAGCTCACGTCTGATCGCAGAGACGTCTAAGGCGTGTCCCAACTGTCCAACCAACATCAGCCATTGGAAAGGACATGGCTGCCACCACATCCTCGTGGACACTGGGTGTCCTGGGTGTGGCAAGCACTTCTGCTACGCGTGCTTGGCGCCGTATCATCTGGACGGCAGCGATAGGTGTGCGTGCTCGAGGTTCTGCGATGACGAGTGCGGGTGTCTGCCCTGTCCGGATTGCAAACCAGGTGTGTATAATAGCTGACAAGGGGTTGTGTGTGTGGGTGGGGGGGGGGGGGGGGGGTGGTCCGTTTTTGTTGTTGTTTGTAGGTGTATGTGCACCGGAATGGTTTGCCTGCAAAGGAGGTGTGTGCCAGAGTGTTTGCGTCTGTGCTCTAATATGTCTTCTGTGGCATCGGAGTATTGATTGCTGCGGGTGTTGAACTACACCTTCAACGGGCATGAAATCGCCAATGGAATACAATTGATGTTGTGAGTAGTAGTAGCATAAGAAACACAAGCGGACGATGAGAAGTCGCAGTATGCACCGTTATAATACACGCGTAGGGGTGTGTGATTCGATATAAACGTGTGCGTGTTGCTTCTTCTGCTTCTCTGCGCTCTTGTACACAATCCCATACGCTTGTCAAAGATGACCGTTGTATGTTGGCACTATTTCTCCATAGTAGTTATGAAGCCATGGGTCCTTTCTCGCCAGCCCCTATCTCATATCTTTGTCGCATCCTCACGTATCTCCAGGAGCCCATTGTATGGCCTGTGATAATGATGGACGCTGTCCGGTATGAGTACCAGTATGTATTGGTATACAGCTGTACCGAACAGCAAGAATATCGCGATTGTAGGCGTGTAGTAGCCTCCTATTGGCACTGCATGTACGTATGCCATTAGCTTTACGTGCTACGAGTGGGGCGGACGTGACGCTGGCCGCTTGCCACTATAAGTCACGAATGAGGCTTACGCACATGCGCGTATGGTTATAGAGAAAATGTGAGTGATCAACCTCGAGACAGGGCATGTATGCAAGCGGGATGCACTGGCATCCTGGCCACTTCCACACACAGACCTTATCATAAGAAGAACACTCAGACCTTCTCATAGGAAGGAGTCTGATGTCCCATTCAACGTGTTATCGTGAATTCGGGCTCGGACTGAATCTCACTGTCGACAGTGTATCTGCAGAGACATCTTGATGGTGTCCTAGAGGTGACGAGAGACTACAGAACAAACCCAGGTGTAGAAATGTGGTGTGTGATCGCTTTGCTTCGGAATGGATCGCAGGCGGCACACCTAATAGTATTCGTATAAATCATACACAAGCTAGCGTCTATAGTATGAGACCGACAAACCTAAAGAATGTAAGATGAGACAGGTCTACAAATCAATGAAATAAAAAGCATGAAGATTATTGAGAAACCAGTACTAGAGTCACCCTAAACCCCCATATATATATATATATATATTGTATGTGTGTGCGTGTGTGTGTGTGTGTGTGTTGTTTTATATATATATATATATATATACATACGTACATACATACATACACTACCTACA